AGAAGGTTAACTGTTGTTGTTTGTTTGTTTGTTTTTTTTTGTTTTTTTTTTTGGGGGGGGGGTTTACGCATGTCATCTAGTCAAAAATGTGAGAAATAGTTAAATTGGGGGACATGAAAGAGATATATTTTGACATTGATGTGATTAAGCGGCAATACGTTTGCGAACTGAATGACATCCAGCAGCGTGACAACTTAGTGCTTGCTAGCAAGCTCCAAGGGAAGCATATTTATTATGAGAAAAACAAAATGAATGTGAAGGTGGCAAGCTAGACTGTATCTACGTCAGTGGCAAGGGCCATTGAATTTTTGAGGGAAGATTTAAAACTTAAGCAGTTCTTAGGCAGTGAGCAAACGACTAAGTTCATCGAGCTCTTTGATTGTATTTTTGACCTATATGCAACTCTTCAAGCACCTTTGGCAAAGGTTACAAAAGCCCTCTTGATTCCAGCAACATCATGACGAAAGAGAAAATTGTCAAGGATGCATCAGCCTACACCCGGGGCCTAAAGAATGAAAGGGGCATTCCTCTTGTGATGGGCAAGCGAAAGACAGGGTTTATTTGATTTCTCTGCACCATGAATTCCGCCATTGAATTTGCGAAGCAGCTTCTCAGCAAGCATGGCTATCATTATTTTCTTACCTACAGATTGTCTCAAGACCATCTTGAAACTGTCTTCAGTCGAATACGAAGGCATCATGGATAGAACAATAATCCAACGCCATTGCAGTTAAAGTGGGCTCTTACTCTTAGGGTTCTTTTACTCAAGAACGGTGTGATGCCATCTAAAAGAGCCAACTGCATCTCAGTGGAAGAGCCCGAAAATACTACACTAGCTGAGGGGATACAGGAAATAGAACCGCAGTTAAACCCAGTCTTAACACCCTTCAGAAGAGCCTTTACATCGCCCACTGAATACCACCTGCACGCTTTGCACAATAGACTATGTCAGTGGTTTCGTTTCCCGCAGTGTGGCTAAGATAATCCGCAGTGTAAAATGTAAGCTTTTCTAGACACCAAGTTGTCAAGCCGACAAATACAACAACCATGATGTGTTGTTTACTAATCGTAAGGGCAAGGGAGGACTAATCTGCTGTGAGGAAATGTGCATGATAGCAAGGGAGTGTGACAGAGCTTTCCGGAAACGTCTCACACGGCCACAGGGGCAGGTCCGGTCCGTGAAACCTGATCTCTCAGATAACAGGACATGTCCTGAGATCATCTGTCAGTGGACGCGTGTTCACAGAGATTTGGAACCATAGTATGAACACCCAGCATATCCCCACTGAAGATGTGCTCACAGAGATTTAGAACCATAGTATGAACACCCAGCATATCCCCACTGAAGATGTGCTCACAGAGATTTGGAACCATAGTATGAACACCCAGCATATCCCCACTGAAGACAGCCACGTCCACCAAAGCATAAAAGAATCATGCAAGCAAGGTGTTCTGTCAGAGGATGCTGCATCACCATGAAAGACTGATAAGGCTAGCATCTGCGTTTGTCGCCGCCGCAACCTGCGAATCGCGGCCGCGATTTTTGCATTTTTCAAAAAGAAAAAGCTATTTCATAACACAGACATACATTTTTCATAATCTTAAGGTGTCCATGTATAGTTATTTTCACGCGAAGAATAATAATAAGTACATTACATACTATTTATTGTATTGCTGTTTGTCTTTTATTTTCCTCTCTTTGTTGGTGTGTTAATTTTTATTATCTATTTGTGTGTGTGTTTATATAGCGTAATGTCATTTAATTTGATGTTCAAAGAAAATAATAATATATAAATGTGTTATAAGTTATATGTTAGAGCGTGTCCCCACCAAAACCGAACACTGACACTGGCAGGCCCCTTGTGTGTGATTCCATAATTTACATGTAATATCCTGTACTTTTTCTTGAATTAAACACGTTTATGGTTAAAACGGCCCATCTTCCGATTGGTGGACACACGCCCTTTTTTGTTACTTTTTGGGCTGTTCTAATTTTGATTTCATTCTGTTGTGGAACCTTTAGAATTTTTCACGTTTTTACGCTCTATGTGTCTACAAATAATATTCTGGATGCTTAAAACAGAGCACAAGAAATTCTGGTGCTTTAGATTAAGTTACCTCTATCAATATATTACGTCGTCACAGCTCGCTGAAAGCTTGAAAATTAATGGCAACTTTTTTGGCAACTTTTGTCATTTTTGTGGTAACTTTTGGCAACTTTTGGACTAAAAAATGGCAACAAACGCAGATGCTAGATAAGGGACAGATGCATTCACAAATGGGCATGCAGTGTCAAAAACTGACGAAAACAATCATTCTCCTGCATCAGTAGAAAGAGAGTGTAGCCAACGTGACGAAAGAAAAGCAACACATTTCGTAAGTATAAAAGTGTCCTTTTTATTAACAATCTCAGTTACTAACTTTGTCCCCCCAGTCAAAAAAAAAACCCAACAAAAACTCCCCACCCGACATCGGGAAAAAACATTGCCTCACGATAAAATATCTCTCCGTCTATCGTTCATTTATATAACATAGGTTTAAATGCAATTATGTTTCACACAATCGGTTAGATGTGCGGTATTGTGTATGTTACGATATATAATTAAACGGAAACAGCAAAAAAAAACGAAAACAACAACAACAACAAAAACTGAAGTAAGTGCTCACTGTGAGCTCAGAGCTTCATACTCAATGAAGACCTAAAGGGATGCGCAACTTGACAACGCTGTTTCTAATCATCACGAAGATGGTGCGCCTCGAGCTGAGTGATTTTACATGGGTGACGTCACAGATGAGAACTCTAGTTCTATTAATTATAACCTCTTTGCTTGAGACTTAGAACAGATAGTGTTGTTAAGACACTCGTTCATGCTGCGAGTTCCAATAGAAAACATCTGCAGCAAATTCTGATCCTGCGTCCACTTGAATACCAGCACCAACTTGGTTTGCAGTAAATGTGGTGAGGATTTGAGTCGGTAGATGAGGGAGGATAGATATGGAACGGCTATGGTGGTATTTAAACTGGTTTAAAATGTCATCTTTAGTATCACCCGCTGATAAAGACCTTGAAAATTTTGAGACAACACCAGCAGATATTCCTCCAATGTGCTCTATTTTTGTCCGCTTTCTACCTCTAATACGACCCAGCTTATTATATTAGGCAGAGTCTTCAAAACACCCTTCACAAGAAAATGCTCCATTATGGATTCGAATCAGCACCATCTGCAGGAAAGCCCAGCAAGATAACAACTGAAGTAAAATGGTGTCCACAAAACAGTTGACACCCATGCCCTCACAAATACACAAACTAATATCAACTGTTACATACCACACACAATGCAGACACACATGCCCACACTGATGCATAAACTCATATGAACTGTTACGTACACATACCACACACAGATGCAAATACTAACAAATGCCCTTCTGTTTGAAAAGATCAACAAGAAAATAGTGGCACAATATCAAACTCATTGCACATGTGATATGTGTAGGTCTATCTTAACACAGCTGACAGTTTGCACTCTCTGAATCTGAACCTCAAAAGTGCAGAGCAAACATACATGATGAACAATTAGGTTATTTCGAAAAGCAAGAAAATATTGACTGCTAAGTGTAAGACTCCGCCATATGCCATTTTGAAAACCGACATATTTGAGGCACTGTGGTGAAATCAAGAGCTCATCAAAATAATGAAATTGAAGAAATCTGCATTTTTCGGCGCGTTTAGCAATTTTTATCGAATATTTGTTTTTTGGAATCAGCACCTTTTATGTCCATTTAAAAACACATTTACATGTTGATTTTAATGAAAAACGTTGATTAAAGGCACATATGTAAATTTTGCAGTTACCCGGGACTCTTGAGATATGGAAGTCACCAAACTTTGGCGGCCAATTTCTTGCTAATTTTATCTCTGAAACCAGGTGACCCTATATCTTTCAATTACAACTATATCGACTTCTATTAAAGATAAATGAGAATTTTTCTTTATCAACAGGGCGCTGCACAGTGGCGACCGACAGTGGCATTGTTTGTAAACTGTTCTGTATTTGTGTAATAGTGTGTATTTATGTATGCATTTATGCATGTATGTATTTATGCATGTATGTATTTATGTATGTATGTATTTATAATTATGTATTTATGTATGTATGTTTGCCATTGTAAAACAAAGTGCCCTTCTGGGACAAATAAAAGTGTAATTTATTATTATTATTATTATTATAAATGAACAAGATTTAAGATGATACCAATAACTCCATATGCCTCAAAATTGACGAGCACCTGATTCCACCGTGTTGTGACACATATGACAGTCTTACACAGTGCAGTCGATATGAACAAATAAATCTCTTATGGCCACAAAACACATTCAAGGCAGCTGAACACACTATCAGTACCGTAACTGATATTTATAGTTTTTGTTTATCACCAAAAAGCTGGGGATGGGCAGGTCACGGTAGAGGAAAGTCAGTTACGGAACCCTATTATCAACATAAAATTCTTGTCAACTGGCAAGGGCATCGACCCCTGCCAACTTCTCTGTAAAACACTGCACAGCTGTAAGAAAGAGATCATTTATGCAATACTTTTCTTATTAAGCCCCTGGCATTTTCCAGGATACAAAATCACTGACATCTGATAAATCAAGAACAGATAAAACGAAGAATAAATCTGGTTACAAGAATCTTCTTAGGATAAATCTTTTCTGTTCCTAAACAGAATTCAGATGATTCATGAAGCTAATTGTATCAGCTCAATCAGCCACAGCCAACTTTGGGTGTTAGGAATGCATCCCAGCAGAAAGACAGGTGGTAAATAAAATAGGTACCCTTGTCAAACATCATTTTGACCAATGTCCTTCGAGTGCATTGTTCAAGGGGAAGAACTCAAACACTTGCATTACATTTGCCGACGCTGAAGTAGCTCTTTTTACAATTCCAGAAGTTTTTTTCCTGAAGATCGATGTATCAGAGTAGCATTTTTTTTCTCAAATTTTGACAAGCGTTTCTCTTAAAATAGTTATATCAAATGGTTCACATACAGTTTACTGAATTATTTCAATCATTTCCTTTAATCTCATTTAAACTGAGAGTGATGTCAGAATTGACAAGTACAAATAGAGCACGCTTGACTTCACTGAGTTTGGATTACTGTACAGTGGTGTCCACTTAACAGTAATCCTGCTATAAGAGCAAAATCAAATAGACAACCCCCTTTATCTTTAAAGTTGATACCCCCCAGCCCCCCCAAAGAAAATTCAGTTAGCAGCAACTGAATTGTAGCAGCCAAGGCCTGCTTCCCAAGGGTGTTAATGTTAAGCAAAAACCACTGTACTGCTCAGCTAGACATTAAACAGATCACTCTGAGGAAGGGATTCATAGAACTGATGATGGGGCCCATTTCAAACAAGCCTAACCTTGAAAGAGGATGACAGCAGTACACTATTTTTTGGACAAAACAACTACAACATGTATCAAGACTTAAAACTATTCCTGATACTCGGAAAATATCACAGAAGCGTTTGTACCACCAAATCCAAAAGAATTTGTGATAGCCACCCTCAGCAGAGAGCCAGTGTCCCATTTTACACTTTTCTCTCCGCAAACATAGTTCAGATCGCAGCCGGTAGATGGAGCTAGCAAGTTGGCTGTCGGTGGAACCTGACCACTGCGACACGCCAAGAGGGTGAACAAGGCTTCAACACTGCCCGCTGCTCCAAGGAGGTGACCTGTCGCTCCCTTAGTTGAACTGACCAAAATATTTTCAGAGAGGGCTTCACCAAAGCAATCGAGAATGGCTCTACTTTCCGCTGCATCTCCTAAAGGTGTTGACGTTGCATGAGCATTGATGTACCCTACTCGATTTTTTTCTAGTCCCGCATCACGCATTGCACCCTCCATACATCTTCGAGCACCGTCACCATCTTCACATGGAGAGGTCACATGATTTGCATCACATGACAACCCATACCCGAGGACTTCTCCTAAGATAGGCACACCTCTAGATTTTGCATGTTCCAACTCTTCCAGAACTAAAACAGCTGCCCCCTCAGACATAACAAAACCGTCCCTTGCCGCATCGAAAGGTCTTGACGACTGTTCCGGAGTAGAGTTGAAATTTGTGCTGAGTGCACGCATACGAGCAAATCCAGCCATACCAAGGGGGGTAACCGAAGCTTCGCAGCCTCCAGCAATGATGACATCAGCATCGCCATGAGAGATGAAACGAGACGCATCACCAACAGCATGCAGGCCAGTGGTGCAGGCAGTGGACACAGCATGATTCAGAGCCTGGAAGAAACGCAAACAGCAGTAAATTAGCATATGCACGGATAAAAAATGCTGTGATAGCATAAACATAATCAACTTTGTCTTCAGGCATAAAATGTTCAAACTTGCCCCCCCCCCCCCCAAATATAAGAAAAGTGACACGACACTGGGGAAACAGGCGCACATTAATTCTTGGACTAATGGAGCCATTGATATCATCTTAAAGCCTGTTCATTTGCCTTGCTTTTGATGAAAGAATTATCCATCTATCAAGAATAGAAGTCGGGATATTTGCAATTGAAGGAGAAGGGGTCATCTGATGCCAGAGGTAAAATTAACGAGAAAATGAAAGCCAAAGAAGTTTGACTATTTCCAAAGATTGAGTGTCCCGGGAAACTGCAAAATAAATTTTTTTGTGCCATTCACCAATGTCTCTTTTAGTAAAATGCACGCAGGGGTGTTTTTCACTCTGTCCATACTGAGAGTAATTTTGGGTTCTGACCGCAGGTCGCAAGCAATAGACTAGAAAAACCAAGGTGCTTCATTTTGATGCCTTATCTACAGGGTTATATGACAAAATGGTACAACATGTCATATATTAACGGAAAGGGAATTGAATGAACATTTTATAGCAAAAGAGAAAAATGTCATAATGTAAGGGAGGTAAGCAATATGACAGAAGACAGATGAAAGAAAATGGGGAGATCATTTTTTACAACTTATATTTGATAGACTCACTACAACTTGCTGGGCTTGAAAACTGCTTCAATCTAAATCAATTGTCATATTATGAAAATACATCCATTTTGCTGCACACCAGTTGTTGTTTTTTAAAGCCTCTATGTCATTCCTGAGTCAAATAATCACAATTTGAAAAATGTCACCATACAGTCAAAAGAAATCCCCCAAGCCCCTTCCCACAGTAAATAAGACTTTACTGATTGTGGTACTTGTAGAGCACCCCTTTGCACATAGATGTGCCTTATTAGAACACCTTGTGCAGTAGAAACTTATTCTTTTTCTGATCCCCTGTCCACTACAGAGAACGCACCTAACATCAGTGCCATCAAAGTCGATGAGGTGGACATTGCCTTGGTAGTGCTCAATGACATTTCCTCCATTGGCTGTTCCAAATTTTCTGGAAGGGGTAGTTACAAGGGGTGTGGGGGTAATACTAGCAGCAAGTGCTGTGAGCTCATCTATCAAGCACTGCTTGAATGCCTTGAAAGTGCATTTCTTGGTTGCATTAGGCCTGCTCAGAACAAACAAAAAGTGGGCGTTGACTTGCACTACTTCGAGGGACCATGTAAAAATTTTTTCCACCATTTTCTTGTTTTGCGATTGTGCGTACTGTAAGACGAAATCATCTGGTCGCCCCTGTCACAGCCATTCATGTAGTTGTTATAATATAATCCTGAATCATGACAGGCTTTGACACCTGCCGACGTCCTTCCCTGATCTCTGTAGATCCAACGCGGGAATTGGTTTACACCACAATGCAGGGTTTCTTCGTTTTCTTGTCCTTCCATGTGATGCAGAGGATGTCCCTTTCCTCATGGTAGAAGTATTGCTCCTCGAGGTGTTTGAATCGAAGTGTCTTCAGTTGAGGAGAAAAGTCACATCTGTTCACATTCAGGGTACCCGTACAGTAATGCCGAGCAGATGATAGGTATTTATGAGGGGCATCAAGGTATAATACCGATCAGTGAAGATATGGTGTCCACTGTGCTGCAACGGTTCCATTAGAGTTTTGAAGACTTTCACAGCTTGTGAAGAATCTTCATCACTCTCAGGAATGAAAGAGGAGTCTTTGCTAAAGTACACCAGCAAATTGTAAATGTACACTGTAGTAGAGTCGCAGAGCCCGAATGTCTTGATGTGGTGTTTTAACGGATTCATGGCGTTGTACTGCTTGTGTAAAAATCTACCCTTCCAGCCGATGACCATTTCATCCACGGAGATGTTTTGGAAAGGGTAGAGTGCTGCCTTGAAAGTCTTGAGCAGATCCTCGATGAATGGTTCAATTTTTGCTTTGCCTTCGGCCTTGGGCTCACGCACGTGAATCATGCTGTGGTACAGAAGTTGAAAATTCCTCCAGGAAAACATTTGTCCGTACCAGCGTGTGTGCAGATGTCTCTTAGTACACCAGTTGTCAGCAACATAGGGGCGTGGTTCCATTCCCATGGCAATGAGTACGGCCAGAAATTTGTATTTCTCATACCGACCTACTGGTTCCCAGGCAGCGAAACTGGAACGCTTCATGAGTGGGGTGTGTTTTTTAATTTGAATTTCAGCGTAGGCGTTGATCTCACAGATTAAATTATCTATTGCAGTGTTATCAAGCAATGCAAAAAGGAAATCAAGAGATTTGCATTTTCCCCCAAGTCCAGCTAAGACCCACATACTCCACGAAAGAGGGAATCCAGTTGTGTTGTTTGCAGAGGCCCTGCGTGCAACTACCTGTCACGGTAGTCACAGTATTGTATCTTACTCTTTTTTAATCACGGGATGTAAGCGCCCCGTATGCCATGGGCTTTTGGTTAATGTTACTCACTTCGGGGATCAACATAAAAAGTCAGACACTACATCCGGGCTCAATTTTAGATTGCTTGGTGTCGGGTGTGTTCGTCTCTCCAGTTTACAATCGTGTGTGTATACTAACATTACATGGTGTCAGAAGCCTGTGGATAACGTGTCACAAGTGTCAGAATGCCTCATTTCAAGCCTCCTGAACCGTTTGATTTTTCCAAACCTCACGAGTGGCAACACCTTTGATACGATACCGCACAGCCACCAAACTGAGCACAGAGACTGGAGCAATTCAAGTAAGTGCATTAATTTATGCTACGGGACGCCAAGCTGAACAGATATTTAACACGTTCATGTTCCCTGCTCCCGTCGAAGGTAACGATCCTAGGGACAACTTTGACACGGTCTTAAAGAATTTCGACGCTCACTTTGTCCCAAAGCGGAATCTTATCCACGAAAGAGCAAAGTTTCATGCACGAGCACAAAACAGTGGGGAGACAATAGAAGAATATGTTGGAGCCCTGTACGAGCTTTCAGAACATGCAGACTTTAAGGACAGAGAAGAAACCATAAGGGATAGACTCGACCTAGGAGTACTGGACAATGAACTGTCACAGTGCTCACAACTCGAGGCAACTCTTACTTTGAAATCAGCCATCGAGACAGCACGCCATTTCGAGCTTGTAAAGGGTCTGGTCAGTATCCAACGTCAGCTAGGTGCAGCAGTCACAGTAGATGCAGTGCGCTACGGCCAGAGGGGATATTCGTCGCCTGCTCACCCCAGGGGTAGAGGCGGCAGAAGAACAGGTACACACTCACAACACAGAGGCAGCCATGCATCACCGTCAACTTTCTCTAACTGCGGCAACAGTGGAAGAGGTCATTCCCAAAACAATTGCCCAGCACGTGGGAAAACTTGCAGAAAATGCGGCAAGCGCAATCATTTCACAATAGTCTGTCGCAGCAGCAGCCGCAATGTCAACGAAATCACTGAATCAGAAACTCCTTCCTTCTTCTTGGGAGCTGTTGACAAAGACTCGGACAGTAATGTCGTTACCGATGTAAACTTCGGTGAAGATAGCGAGCCACTATGGCGCGTTACACTGAACCTTGGAGGGAGAGCTACATCCTTCAAGATAGACATAGGGGCCGATGTTTCGATAATGTTGAAGGCCGACTACAACCGTCTCAGTCCTCGTCCAAAGCTGAAAACAACGTCTGCAGTTCTTCACAGTCCTGGTGGAGTCATAAAGAGCGTGGGAGAATTTATCGCAACTACGCAGCACAACAATCGCAACTGTGCGTTCCGTGCTTTCGTCCTCGACGATGACACCGACTGTCTTCTCAGTCGCTACGCCGCAGTTCGTCTGGGACTGATCTCTAGAGACAGAATAGACTCTGCCAACCTCGTGTTTGGCGATGTGGGACCCAAACCTATATGCTGCGAGCCAGTGAAAATCATCTTGAAAGAAGATGCACAGCCATACTCTGTAAACGTCGCATGTCGGATTCCCATTCCACTCATGGACGAAGTCAAAGCTGAACTAGACCTCATGGAGGCCGCAGGTGTCATTGAGAAGATCAGCGCTCCAACTGACTGGTGTGCATCCATGGTCCCCGTCAGAAAAAGGTCTGGTAACGTTAGAATCTGCATAGATCTGAAAAAGCTCAACCTGTCGGTGAAGCGTGAACGATTCATGCTGCCCACCATAGACGACATCTTGTACAAACTCAGCGGATCAAACAAGTTCAGCAAGCTTGATGCAACTTCTTCCTTTTGGCAGTTGGCACTAGACGATGACTCCACGAAGCTGACTTCTTTCATTACCCCGTTCGACCGGTTCTTCTGCAGACGTCTCTGCTTTGGAATCACCTCTGCGCTTGAGATATTTCAGCGCACGATGCAAGACATTCTAGCGTGCATAGACAGTGTTGAGTGCTTTATGGACGATATCCTCCTGCACACGGATGGTCAGGAGAAACATGATAAGCTGAAGAGGAAAGTCTTCCAGCGGCTAAAGGAGCGCAGGGTCAAGTTGAACAAATCCAAGTGCAAGTTTGACAAGGATGAAATCGATTTTCTTGGCCACATCATCAGCGGGAAGGGTGTAAGGCCAGATCCATCCAAGGTCAGCACCATCACTGAGATGCCAGAGCCAGAGAACATTACAGACTTACGACGAGTGCTTGGCATGGTGAACTATTTGGGCAGGATTGTGCCAAATCTGTCAACAGTCATGAAGCCGCTCACTGATCTTCTGAATCACGACGCTGAGTGGGTGTGGACTCCAGTGCAGTCATCTGCCTTCACTGAAGTCAAGAAATTGCTGTCGTCAGCTCCAACATTCGCTTTCTTCGACATGAGGAAGCCTGTCATCGTAAGCACCGATGCAAGCAGCTACGGACTAGGGGGAGTTCTCCCCCAGGAGGACCGGGGTCATGTCCCTTGTAGTTGCAGAGGTCAGCACCAACCATCTGGAACGGCCGCTCAGGTAGAGCTGTCGGGGTTAGAGGTTCGCTTGGTTGTGCTGGACGTTTTCCCTGGCAACTTGTCCTTGTTAGGGTTAACCTGGGCACCTTGTTGCTTGCAGCAGCTGCATTGCCTTTTTTTCCTTTGTATCTTCGTCTTCCTTTACCAGAGAATAGTTTTTCTCTACATAGCGTAAAAAAACAACAACCCATTTTCAGCTATGTCCCCATTTTTGTAGCATGATACACAAATTCGCATTAAGCCTACCACTAAAAGTTCCAACGATTGGGCTATATTGCAAGCTACAGTAGTGTAACAAACAGGCCAATAGAAGTTTGCATATAGTTTTTCTCAAGGTTCCTTTGCCTGTTGAGATCATGGTTAAGATTAGTAAAGAGCAGAGAGTTTTTTGTATTGAAAATTTCTTTACCGTCAACTCATTTCATAAGTTTCGCACAAGTGTGGAAGTAACGTTAAAGTGTTCTTAAGGCCTCCTTTGATGTCATGGGTGGAAAAAATTCCCAGACAGAAAGACCACTTCAGGTCAAACACACACCGTTCCCACCCCTTTAAATGTCACCAGGGTGCAACATTCAGCAGATGAGCCCTATGAGAAGTCCGTCCGTAGCCAATGTCTGTAGCTAGGACTTTCCTTCATCTCAATGGTCTGCATTCGCAAGGTAGATCTTCATCTACGACTGTACCATTTTCCTGTTTGCGTAGCTGACATGAATCAGAGGATGGCAATGTGTTCATGATTCCTCCATCATATTGAAAAACATGAACATGTCCCCTATGCCATTTGGTTCCTTGGCAAAGCTCATATTCACCTTTCAGGATGGGTTAACTCCACAACTGCTGTGTTTCTGGGCAACCTCACCCTACCCCCTAAAGTCTCTAGAAACAACTCCACACAGTAAGGTGTACAGTGCATGCAGCTTTGAGTACTCATAGTTGGGTGGACACTTGTGTTTGGCAACAACTGAACATTATGAACGACCGTTAAAATGTGTCGAGTCCAAAAAAAGGACATGTAGAGCACTGGTTCTCTGAATTCCAGAATTTTACAAATGATTTTAAAGAACTCGGTTAGAGAAGAGAAATATCGTTTAAATGTTAAAAAGAAAAGGAAGTGGAAAAAAACAAACAAATCATTTCATTACTCTCCTTACAAGATCTTTCAAATTGGTGCATTTGCGTGGTTTATAAAAAAGCCATTTCTGTTTTTGAAAACAAGTTTTTTCTTAATGAATTCTATGTCAAGCAAATTCCTTTCGGGTGAATTATATCAGTTGCAAATTACAACATTCTAGCACAAATTTTGTGCGACATATTCAGAAAAAAAAGTTGTTTAGCTTTTTTGGGGATCTCCTTGTATTTTACTGTTTTAAGCTGAGAAAGGAGGTAAAACAGGACAATGAATGTGGTGTTTCATCAAAGTCAGAAGACAAAAATTCACACATAACAGAAGTTTGTTTGTTTAAGTAATGAGATGCACATCGACACAATAATGGTCATTTAGCGCGTGGGAAAAGTAAGACAAACAGACAGAACAACATAGGGAAAGAAAAATGAAGTATGACGAGTAGCCTCCTCCAACCATCAGCTATACAGAATAAAAAAAGTGCCGTCAAACAACTTGATATTTTAAAAAAGCAAAGCAAAAGCAATACAAAAACATTAATAGGTTTAGTGTACCTTGAAGCCATAGACCAAATTGACGTGACCGGCAGCCATGTTGATCAAAATGCGTGGGATGAACCATGGAGACATTCGTCTGTACTTCTCTCCCCTGAGCATTTGCCCAGCATCAACAATTTCCTCTAGAGGACACATGCCAGTGCCAATACAGACACCTAAGCATAAGGTGGAACAAAAATGTACAATCAATACACTCATCAAAGACAATGTTATTGAACAGGGGTTAAAACGTAATCCAGCTGCTTATACTTCAACAGTTGCTAATTCTATAGAAATTATGCTGATGGGTACATAAAACTTCTACAACATTCTTACTGATTTATTTTTGTTAAGGAAAAGTGTAACCACTGACTATATACAGTCGAGCACAGAAAATGTGGATACAGAAAGCTTGAAATCATGGATAGCTCTTATAATTTGCCATTCACCAACTGACATCTCTTGGATTTTCCGGTCTACGATTTACCAAAATTATGGAAGTGTCAAACCATATGTCAATCCCCGACATGGTTGAATTATCCGTGCCTGACTGTATGCAAACAGGGATGTTTACAATCACCTTTCCTCTTTATCTTGGCAATTGACTGACTGATGAAGGAAACCAACAAAAGACACAGAAACAGCATACAGCGGACCCCATGGACACAGTTGTACGATCTGGACTTTGAAGATGACTTGACGCTTCTGTCACACACCCGGGAACAGATACAAGCAAAGACCACAATTTTAAACAGCCTATCAGAGTCGGTTGGGTTGAGGATCCACCCTGGAAAGTCAAAAGTCCTACGGACAGATTTACTACGAAAGGAGCAAGTCACAATTGAGAGAAACGCAAGAAAAAAATCAAATTCTTCTGCTATCTTGGAAATATAATTGACGGAGAGGGAGGAACAGGTGCTGAAATAAAGTCACGCATTGGAAAGGTACAAACTGCTGTCATATCTTTGAATAGGATTTGGAGGAGCAGGGAAATTCTCACTACAACCCACCTTGAGGTTTTTCAACTCAAATGTGAAGTCAGTCTCGTGAGACATAGAATGCACCTCAGACTTGCATAAAGAGGATCCAGGTTTTCTTGAACATGTGCCTAAGGAAGTTACTGAGGATCAGACGGACAAACAGGGTCACCAACGAGGATGTATTAAGAAGAATGAAACAGAGCCCAGTCGGAGATAAGGTGGGAAGAAGGCGTTGGCGATGGATTGGACACACTCTCAGGAAGTCAAGCAGCTGCATAATAAGGAAAGTGTTAGATTTTAACCCACAGGGTAAAAGATCAAAGGGAAAACCACATGAAACCTGGAGAAGAGTCATGGAAATGGATGTCCAGAAAAGTGGAAAGACATGGAATGACAAGCGACTAGCTCAGGATAGGGAAAGGTGCAAAGCATTTGTTCACGGCCTATATCCTGATCCAGGGTGAGACAGGCAATGATGATATGATGATGACTGTTTGCAAAAAGGCTACTTCCGTAGGGTGTACCACCCAATGGGGCTTTGGAAAAGTCTGAGGTCTGCCAGACCTGAACACCCTCGATCAACAGATCAGCACAATAAAGATAAAAAACAGATGACAAAGACTCCTCCTCAATGCCAGAGAAGTTGTGTAGCACAATTGACTCCTTGATAACAAGAGCACTTCGCCATTAAGGTGGGTTTTTTCCCCTCTAACAAAGTGTTCAAGCATACAAATGAACAGCAAATGAATCAAAATAGGAAGCACCCTATATTATCACCTGTCCTTAATTTGTCACTCTCTCCCTCCGGTTTCCACTGAGCCATTGTCAGAGCTTCCTCAGCTGCCGCTAGACAGAACTGCGTCATTGTCGTGACTGGTCTGTCATCAACTTGAGGAACTAAGTCACGGTGGAAGAGACCGGGCTCACTTCCTCGTGGAACCAGTCCAGCAACCTTACTGGGAATCTGTTCAAAACCTTAAGAAAAACAAAAGTCATCAAATTGTCTCTAACTCACCCCATAGAGAGCAAAAGAAAAGAAGATAAAAAAAACAACTATATGTGAGACGTGCTGACAAAATGAGTTACTTCTTGCCCTCCAAGAATGGAGATATAGGCCGAAAATCAACACTAGAGTCAGATTTATACAATTTCAATTGATCCTATTTTGTTCAAGTCTACCGTGTCTTTTATTATTTCGGACTTACAAGTTGTACAAACACCACCCATAAAGTTTATGTATCAATTTCCATACGGCTAAAATCCGACAAGTAACTCATTTTGTCAGCACACCTCACATATATATATATTATATCATTATAGTGGAGATGGCCAATCCTGACAACTCGTGTCACTTGAGAGGAGAAAGAGAATGAAAAGGCAGGCAATATTTTTTTTAAAATGCTAAGTGAGTCATTGTGACTATAGAGTGCTCATTAAAAGAGATCAGGAAAAAATAACTATATAAAAAAAATCATATAAAGTAAAGTATTGACATCAAAGGCAGTGAAATCTGCATCCCTTCAGACATATTATTATATAAAAAAAGAATTCAAGACACATTAAAGTATAATAATACTTGATTCTGATAAACAACACTCTACTTTCAATACAGTCAAACTCGGATATAACAGGACAGACAGGACCAGCAGTTCTTCCCTGTTATAAGCCAGTCCTGTTATAAGGGTTATCAAGAGAAACTACCAGTACTATTGCACCTTCCGCTTACTATACATATTCAATTACCGCAGATCTCTTTTCCAGAGGGCCGCTTTGGTAAAGCTGAGACGGAAAGGATCAGTGACCCGAACACTATGGGGAGGACGGGGGGGGGGTAACGTGTTTGAAAGTATGTGTTTAGGCAAGCGATCATACTAACAGGCGAAATGTCTTGGTTCAGACAAATTTTAATAATTTGATGGATTGACAGCAAGTTCATGGGCTGCAAGATCACTGTTATCCGGGTCTGAGCAAATTGAACCCTGTTATAGCCAGGTTCCTATTACTAAAACTTATAGAGAGAAAAGAAACGGGGATTTGTTTTATCACTGTTATATCACTGTACAAAGGCTGTTATAAATGGACTGGACTGTGTGTGAAATGAAACTCAACTGTCTTTTTTTTTTTTGGTAAGTGTTATACAGCGTTCACAAAATTGCATAAGGTCATAAGCGCGCTGGACACATTAAAATTAAACATTTTTAGTTGGTAGGAAATTTTGAATGTTGTCCGTGTGGCCGCCGAAGCCTACTCCTATCGATTTTAGACCACCAAGGGATCTTTAACATGCGCAACTTGCACATGAGATCTCCGAGATTTTTCGCGCTTCTTTGAGAAGGCTAGGTGTAGATCTTTCCTAACATAAGGTCAGGGGCGAGGCTGAAAGGCAGCAGTAAGAAGGGGCAATGGAGTAGCAGTAGACAGGTTGCAGAAAGAAGGGCCCAGTGGTGGGGGCAAAGGATGTGAAGAGGTGGGGGCAGAAAGTGGAAACGAAAGCAGACAACAGAACATTGTTAGAGAGCAGGAAAAGATGTCAAAGGAGAATATTTTAGGGAAGAAAATTTTCCATCGCTATTTGGATTCGACCCGGCGACCTTTGAATGAAAGGCGATCACTAAAACCTCTAGACCACAAGAGCCCCCAAATTCAATGGCTTATAAAACCAACTCAATGTGTATGAATGAGCTCATGGACATAAAAAAACCCAAACTATTCACATTGATGAGTCTCTTCCAATGTTATTTTTCCAGATGCTATATATATATATGCATGTATACCTTTCTCTTGGATGTTTGTGATGCCAGTTTTCCCTGCCAAAAGCTTTGACCACACATGCTCTACTCCAACTCCGAGGCAAGAGACAATACCAGCACCAGTTACAACCACTCGGCGGGTCTGACGAGCCAACCGTGACATTCTGAGGTCGTTTTTATTTTAGAAATCAGTTGATCATCTGTACACGAATAAGAGAATATGAATTATGAGACGCTAGACTGGTTAACATAAAAGTCAAACAATACAATCATACAGCTAAAATTATCAAACTGGAGTGTATATATTGCAGTTACAAGGTTTCAAAAATGAATCTTGCACTTTTAAAACACTTCTCCTTGGCATAGAAACAGCCATTCAAGTCTTAGCTAACTAAAGGTAGAAAAATCGGCCATGCTGCAAGGCCTTATATTTTAAGTCTAAACTTTTCAAATGAAGCGGTTGAAACTAATACTTAGTGACTTAGTTTGATATTCCAATACTTCTTCTACCTCTATTATGATATACACAACCTTTCTAAACCTAAAACCCGGCTAAACCGAAGAAAAACCAGCAGTTCTATAGATTTCCGTTTCAAGCAGACCCCACTGTTACCTATATAATAATTATACACAAATACTATACACACATAGGGAGGACTTCCATAACAAGCGACCAATATGAGACAGAGTAGAATTTAAAGCGCTGGTAGGGGTAGGGTGGTCATTAAGGTTTGTGTTGGGGTTTGGTCTCTTCTTTATTGTGTTTGTTGGGGAGGTCGCTCGTTATGCAGAAGTCCTTCCCACACAAAGATCTTGATCTAGATCTAGATATTATATAATATTAATATTTATTGTCATGCACGCACAGAGGTGATCTTGTAGTTCCGTTCGTTAAAGTCTACGATCCATTTGTTTACATCCAGAGAAGAAATCCAGAAGTCTTGAATACTAATTTACTATTTGAAATAGGCTACACAAAGAGCAGGGATGCAACCTAACTGCAAAACATCAATTTAGGATAAAATTCCATATTTTTATTAGGTCAGGGGGGCAGAAACCCCCCTACTCTTGACTTTAACAAACGAAACTACAAAATCGCCATTGACTGTACTGTACTATCTAGGTCTGATTATATAGATAGGCCACCTCTATTCTCACCCGGAGTGAGAATAGTGCAGGCGAGTCTTGTGGCTATTCTCACCCGGTGCGCGTTCACCAAATTTTGCGTTCACCCTAAACCACAGAATTCTACACTGTGATAACAGAAAAATTGTAGAATTCTGTGCCGTGAACAAACGTTCCATTACAATTGTAGCCTACTAAAAGCGTACAATTTTGTCTGTGGGCAGTGGAGAGAGAGAGAGAAAGAGAGAGGAGTAGCGCGAGAATTTCCAGGCAAAACAAAATGGCGACCCGCGTAGTTCGGCTCGATTCGAAAAGTTAAATAGCCGTAGCATCTTTGTAGACAACCAAATTTATAAAACTTTTGTGTTTTAACATCATTTTTTAACTTTGTTTTGGTCAATTTGATCGTCCACACCGATAGACAGTATTCAGAAAGAGACAGAGAGAGAGAGAAGAGGGGAGGAGTTGATCTTGCGAGAACTTCGGGGCGGGTGAGAATAGCCACTTTCATATAGATATCTAGATTTAAGTCAGATTTTTAAAAAGCACCACATATTCAAAATTACCACAGTCAAAATTCAGTAGAGAAGATCTAGATCTAGATCTATATCTATGCCTATACTGAACCCGAATGCACAGCCAACCAAAAAGCCAAAGGGAGTGTATACAGACCCGGTAACCGGGAACAAAGTCACAAAGTATACAGACCCGGTAGGGGAACTCTTTTGTGATTTCGGAGAGTTTCAGCGCCCTCTTGGCTCAGGGTAGACCTAGGTTCTTCTAGATCTATGGTCTAGGTCTAGATCTAGGCAGACAGACATAAATCTTTCATCTAGTTTCGCGGCTAACCTAGATCTAAATGAAGATTGCGGATGTCGTTTCGATGAACGATGGTTTTTCCTCCGTTTTGGAATTGGAGGAATCACAATCCGAAGAAAAGAACCAGTTACAATGTCATAATTTCAATCGAGCAGTCTCTCTCTCTCTCTCTGTCTCTCTCTCTCTCTCTCTGCTCTGTGTGTCTCTGTGTACGGCTCGCCTTCTCTTTTTCTTTGTTTGTCTCTGTATTTCTTTGTCCCCACCTATTTCCCACTCTATCTTTCTTTCGTTCCCTCCTGCCAACTGGGGCATGTCATATACACTTTGCTAGCACCCCCCCCTCTCTCTCTCTCTCTCTCTCACACACACAAGATCCGGGTCTGAGGTCTGAAACTTCCCGAAATCACAAAAGAGTTCCCCTACCGGGTCTGTATACTGTATACTTCGCGACTTTGTTCCCGGTTACCGGGTCTGTATACACTTCGAAAGCCAAAAGGTTTGCAGAGCCACTTTGACAATCTAATAGCAATGATGCAAAAGATGCCTTGGATAATTTGGCCCATTTGTCTATAATACAGCCATCATGAATCAAAGACAGACTTACCATTGGAGACCACTTGAGGCCAGTCTTACAAGCAAATGGAACTAATCGTTTACGAGATGGTGTTCAGAAAGTGCGACCCAAAACAGGCCTATTTATTTTTACTTTCGTTTTTATCATCGCATTAATTCCCGTTCTACTTTTGTAAAGAGCTCGCCGGTAGAGGTGTGCGAGTAACGAGTCCAGGCTCGAGTACTCGAGTAATACATGCGGCGAGTCCAGACTCGAGTCACAAGTAAATTAC